CCGGCCCCCTGGAGGATGTACTTATACATACATTATTTATAGCTTCCAACCCATCTGGGCTTTCCAGTGACCGATGTTTCCAGCTTACCATAACACCAATATTATATATATTCAGCCAAGAAGATCTATCTTGCATTGATTTTTATATTTACTTACTTTCAACAGCTTACCATATTATACATACAATACCAATATTAAACATTTGTTAAGATCGATCTCGTGATGATTTTTAGTGCTATGTTATACTTTTTCAAGAGATTAACCCAATCTAGATTTTCTAATGCCCAGCAAAACCCATATACTTTACAATTCAAATCGGGAGAGGGGGTTCGTTGCAGAGAGCTGTACAATTTGTACATTCGTATAATGGCGGCCATATTGCCAAGCCATAAAGGTCTCGTGAACTGACTGCTAACGCCACAATTCCTGTTGTCGTGTTGACTAATGACTATTCATTTAGTTTATGGCAAAATTTCTTTACGTGTGTTTTTTCGGCGATTACATAGTATCATGTGGAAAGGTTTTAAGTTGTTTAGGCCTGGTTTACACTATCAAAGTTTCTGTGATCACAGTAGGAATTTTGCATCGCGGTAAATCTTGAAGGATTTGTAAGAAATGTTTGAGGGAACTGATTCAGTGTTTAACATTACGGACCGTTCATTATTTATACTTGAGGTTGGTACTGAAGAGAAGCGAAAAACACTGTAAATTTTTTATTTACCCAACCTCAACAATGGTCAAAATAATGTTTACCCAACCCATGTGTTACTGTACTTCATAATAATTAAACACACAAGATTATGGTGACAGAAATCAAGTTGCCTAAATTCTAAAAGCTCACTCACACTCAAGCTCACCGAGTGTGCCAAAGCAATCACAATGTCTGCTGATCAATGATAGAGTCCTACCTCTATCACGGATGGTCTATTTTGGTACAGAATGTAGTGTACATATTTTTCTTCATATTTTCCAATGCTTGGTAATTTTGGTTTTATTTTATTTTATTTTATTTTATTTTATTTTATAGCTGACAAACAGCCATGCATTTTTTTACCCAACCCATGAGCTAGTCAAAAACTTGATTACCCAACCCATATCTCTTCGGTACCAACCCCGGGTATAAATAATGAACGGTCCCTGAGTCCCTCAAACATTTCTTACAAATCCTTCAAAACTTAGAATTTACCAATATGCAAAATTCCTGACTGTGATCACAGAAATTATAGTGTAAAGTGTGAACGAGGCTTTTTTTGGAGTACTTCAAAAACGTAAAACACTGGCTTCGCTAGTGAGGCCCATTTCATTTTTTTAGGTATAGTTCAGACACAAACCGCTTATTTTATCCGCAAAGCGTCGTCTTGGAGAGGTGCAGGAAACTAGGTTGTTGCACACACAAGTACAGGAAATGTCAACTTCGTCTTTTACAATGCGGCAAATTTCTCTTCAATTCTGTCAAACACAAGTATCTGTAGGAATTTAATTGCTCTTGTGTCCCTTTCAAAGAGGCGACATGAACACACCGGATGCGCACCACGATATTGTATTGTAATGAATTAAATAGAATGTAGAAACAGGCACGCGATCGGCTATTACAATGAATTTAAACACAAGAGCCCCAACGGAATAAACTGAGTTCAATATATAGGCATGGTTTACGGGTTTTGCTATTTTTGATACCCTGAAAAGTATATAGGGGATATTACACGGCGGCGCGAAGATATGACTTTTATCTTTGAGTGGTGAAAAGGCAATATTTTACGAACGAGCCCATCGAGTGAGTAAAATATTGTTTTTAACACGAGAAGATAAAAGTCATATCTTCGCGCCGCCGTGTAATGCTCTGTTTATTATATAGTCCCAAGCAAAAAATTGTGAAATTTCACGCTCAAAAGCAAATTGGAAAACGTCACGTGATCGATGTCTTCACTAGTGAAGATACAATCTCGTTCCCAGAGTATGCCTGTTCGCGGGTTATGTATAACCGCGAACAGGCATACCTTGGGAACGAGATTGGTGAAGATATGGAAAATATCTCACAGTGTATTTTTCAGTATCTCATATACTGTTAGTACTATATAATAAAATCTTGAATGGTATGTGCGAGTGCAGGTAGTGCGGAGCTTCGGATTGATAGGGATACAACTACCTGAAAAATACAAGGAGAACTTCGACGTTTCGAGCTTAATTAAGGCCCTTCATCGGGAGATTTGTCAAAAATACCCACAATGCCCCCTCCCCTGTATGGTTGGATGCTAGTCCATCCAACACCGCGAGCAAACGTCATGCGCATGCGCAAGTCTCCGGAGATGGCGGGAAATATATCTGCCGAAATAATGGGAATAAATACGAGAAAAGCGTTCACTATAAGGAAACGGCTGAAGTTATAAGGTAGAGAATTTCACCGCTTTTTCCTTGTGTCAAGATGAGGTTATACTGAGTTTATTTTTTACACCCTTTACTAGAGCTTCGTGAATTCTCTTTCCAATACACGAACGTTTGTTTGCGATGTTATTAACCCATCCTGGTTCTCGTGCATTACCCGGAAAATTTATTGTGCAACATTTAGGGTTATGTTTTGATATAAGATCACTTATATTTGTATCATCAGTAAGTGTTTTGTGAAGTGTATATTTTGGAAAACTATAGGCTCGACTATAGGATTCCACTTAAAACTCACGAGTGTTGGGACCGGCATCACCGGCTAGAATAAATATTATCACAATTACTCCTAGAAATAATAGATATAGAATGCGTACTCCTATCGTTTCTCAGTAAAAAAATTGTCTCCACAAAATGGCGGATTTATAAGGGCACGCATTGAAAAAAAGTGGAGACCATGAAATGGAGACATGAGCAGTTGCTGTCAATGCAACTATCAGCCTTCTGTCAGGAGTCAAACCTGCATGTGGCGCTGTGATTCCGGTGCAGACTCTGTAGCTCAGTTGGTTAGAGCGCTGCACCGGAATTGCAGGGTAGTTTTCGACAAAGTTTTGCGCATCAACAATCGGTAGTTTTCGACTATGTTGATGATGGTTAAAACATTGGCGGAGTTGTTTTTGTCTTGTATAGTATATTTTTTTCACACGAGAACGTAACTTACTAATTTAAAACACGAAAAATCGAGCGAAGAATAATTTAGGAAAACAAAAGGAAGGAACGCGCCCTCATGCAGAGCCCCCGCCTGATTTGCGGGCTACGTCCTGCCAAAAAATTTGCATAAACAACGACTGCTGACTATATTTAGAGATTATCTGTTACAGTTTATCAATACTTGGGACTTTTTATGTTGCTGACAGATCAACTCATGTGAAATTTGTTTGGCATTTCCTTTCAAAGCATTTTCATATGACTTCGGGTGCCGTGGCATTAGGCGGCATCTGAATTCTACAGAAGATCACCTCTGCGCACAAGTTACGAAGGAAAGTTAAGCCTATATAACATGTAAAAATTTGAGTCTTGTTGTGCTTCTACTTTATCTTAACATAAGCACGGTTGTAAGTCCATTGCATGTCACCTTGAAATATGATAAGAATTGAACAGTTTCCAAAACTCATGTTGTCTTTACAAAACCTTTGCCAAAATTAATTTGAAAGTCAAAACGACTAACACAGATTACACAGGGAAAGAACAGAATTATTAAAGTTTCGGTAAAGGTAAGTTACGGAGTAGTTCGAGGGTTATATTGCCTTATAATATTGTACTGTGAGCTATATGAACTGTGTAGGCGGTTAAAATTTTATCTAGGACGGCCGAGCGAACATGTAGATGACAGACTCGAGAATGAATGTTTATACACACGGATCGTCAACGTATAACAGACCGCAAACCGGAAAGACTGTATACGATATACATCTGAATATATGATAAAATTCGTCAACAGTGTATATAGGATTATATGCGTAGGCATAGACCCAACAATATTCCTAATATAGAACTATTGTTCAAGCAATACATCGTTAATTAATGTCAGGAAAAACAACTGAGGCTGCCAAATATCCTCACCAAGTTTTTTATAAAAAAGTTTGGAATTGGCTTAATTTTTATTTGCCCACACCAGGAAAAGCTGTAGAGAATAGAGGAAATTGTCAGGGAAGAATAGGCTTTCGGAAGTCAACAGCCTGGTGCTTTGCCAATTGATTTGATCGTTGCCTATATACAACATTATATTCTAAGGTTTTATTGGTGAAAGGAGCCAGGCGGTACAAAAATTGCGGCCAATTGGGAGCAGCCGATATACGCATTTATTTTCACTTTGATGATACATTTTGCTTGCGCGCGATTGCAAAGGTTTACAGCAAAAGAAAGAGAAAACAAATTAAAAGTAAAAAAATTAAAAATGTATCTCCGGATGACATAATTTAAACATGAAATATTGCAGTGGATATTGCATAATAATACATTGCACTGTGAATAACTACTTAAAATATAATAACTCGAGTACAAAATGGCGGTAAAAACATGATGAACATGAGAGCAGTTTGGATACTCGAGTTTGGCAGTTCGCATGAGCATTTTTAATTTGCTAAGGACGTCTGTAAACAGGACTTGGGTTTTCAAGATAGGAATGGTTAAACAGTTTACTTCTTTTAATTCTAGTATTACAGGAAGGCTTAAAATGTGGTATAATTTATAAACCCAAGGAGGTTCGGGTCAACAAAGACACAGTACGTGGCCACCTTGTCCTGACTTGGCATTTTGCCGTTTCCGTTCAAGTGTTGTGAACTCGGATGTCTCTTGTATAGTTTATAAATAAATTACCTATTGCGATTTGAACTTGATTTTCTCCGTATATGCGCAAAACCAATATTTAGGCAAATGCAAATCTTCACCGAACCACGCGCTTAATCCCTCAGTGTGCGCGCCCGTTCTTTGAACTACTTCCAAGAAATAAGCATTAAATGCGCGCTCTGCCAAGTGCATCATTGCTCAATGACGATGATAAGCTAGCCATTTTGCCGCTTAATATCCGGAAAGTGTTTTACGATACCCCTTTTCTCATTATTTGGCAAAGTTAGTTTGCGTGAGCGTCAGCAGGGCTCTGTTGATTTAATCAGCGCCACACTGTTTACGTTGTTTTTTGCAAGCACTTACAACACTAGTACAACGAGGGAGATTCTTCATGTAAAACTGAATTAAGGACAGAGGGAATAATGTCATGTCGCTGTTGCGTAACTCAAACTTGTGTTATCATGATTTCTAGTATGTTATTTTCATCTTAATGTTCTATTAAAGTAATTTACGTAACGTTCTGTTAAAGTATTGAATTTAAATGTTTGCACATGAAGGTCATGTGTGTAAACTACATAGGTTGAGCTGTGAACTAATTGAACAAATTATGAAACCAGGCAGGTAACGCTCCTGATCAGTTAAATATATGTGGCTTTAAAACTTACTTCATAGCTACTTGCGCAAATCATCAGCGTTCTACTCTTGGCAATTGATACCTATTTTGTTTGGTCAATAAAGGAGTAGAATTACCAAGCAACAACACTAGTTACAGGAGCTGGGTTCAGTTGAACATCGCACTATAATATAAAGCGGTAACTGTGGTTTGGGAACCGCACAGTGTTTTACGTTAAGTGCATGGCGGAAGGTGCTGACCTTGTTCATAATTTTGTAAACCTGTAGTTATAGACCTTGTGATCGTCTTAGAAAACCGAACTTAAAACCAAATAGGCGCTTATCTTCTGAATCATCGGTGTTCCAGAAATCAGTGGATTCTAACAGGTATCAATCGAGGCACTGTTAGTACAGACTACAGAGTACAGACGCATGTAGAAACTACACGACGTTGCGTTGATTTCATACAAAGTAAACTTAGATAGTATTCAATAGTAATATAGAGTAATTTTGAGAGAGTTTGGACAAATCTGAGGTTGGTTATTATTAGAGTGTGCGCGCTTTAAAATTATTCCTGCGGCCGGGTAAACATACTGCTTCATGAAAGTCATTCGTTACAGAATCGTAGTAAACTCTGTTTCTAAATTATACTGAAGCAATACTGAACCGCGCGCATTTATGGAAACTTTTCATTGCGGTATTACTATACGCACAAAGCGTGGTTGGAAATGCAAGTGTTCAAAAGATCGTTATAATCAGATGCGCAATTTATTCAGGGTCGTTAACAGACTTATGTGAACAATGTTCAGCTGCACGTTCCACTAATTCAGTTGTGCCTGTATTTGTGACGCGTACGCCCTGACCATATATCTAGCAGGCTTTCTTCGACCATGTCCATGTATAGGCGGTTGTTGTCCATATTTTTATTGCAAGAATGATGTTCCGTCTGTTTCAGTGTTGGCTTTGCGGTAAACTGTTCTTAGCGAGATTTCTTTGAGGTGCTCAATGTTATAGGCAATGTTCTAGGCAGCCGTCGGTTATACAAGTTTATAGCTTCTTGATGTGCTTCCTCGCCACGGTCAAATTGTAACTCTTTAATCACTTTCTCTTTTCGCTTTTGTAAACAATGATGTAAAGTGGCAAATTAAATATTCAATTCAAATGTATTTCTAATAGCAGACTTGGTGGAACAGTGGCGTTACTGTAGAGTAGTACAGCATTATCGTAATAATGTTTCAGGCGTTCAGCAACTGACCATATTGTCAAATCACAACATTCTACTGTTACATCAGTGAGTTCAGTGTGTATTCACTACGGGACGTGTGTTGAAGCGTACTTTCAGTACAAAATAATGAGTGAAGACGGCTGTTTGTGCAACAATGGTGTCTCTATTGCCAGCATTTGTGGATTTCCTTCAGCGTTGAGACAGTAAATGTTTGTTAACTTTATACGATCCTAGTTGCAAGATCAGTTTTTGAAATTCATTTAAAGTAGGCTATCACTATTAGTTTGTTCCTTATACTAATGTATTCTTGTGATTTTTATGCATGTATCTATATATACCGAAACTGGTATTTATGTTGATCAGTAAATATTATATTATACTAAAGAGACCTTCAGAACTGTTGTTTGTTGACACTTGTTGCAGGGGTATTTAGAGCAAGCAAATTTAAATATGTCTCTGAGTTTACTGGCCTCTGAATTGAAGAATACTGATATAATGAAAAGAACGAACATAATATTTATTCAGGCTCTGACAAATGCCACTCATTTGTTGGATAACTCTGAGTGATAGAGCTGCGCATGAAATATATACATCATCATTATAGCTACCTCACCTAATGCATATTGGTCAGTATAATACACGATAGCCTTAAGTCAAACGCACGTATAATCGTCATTGCCAGATAGTTATGCTAAAAATTATATTGGTTGGTAAACAACACAGGTTTTGATTTTTGGCTGGGGTATAGTTCGTCCTGAAAAACGTGTGCCTGAGAGCGCGGCTGGTCAGCGGCCCGGAAGATCGTTCGAGCATTTCATTCAAACTATCTTTATCGTTGTATAGAGAAAGCCACGGGCGCAGAATGCTAAGGGATTCCACCTACAATTCGATGATCGAAGAAGCAATTATACCTAAAGAAGAAACTGCCTGGAACCACGACGAGGTATGTAAACATTTCTAAATATACGTTGTCCGGTTTACAACTCATTTCTAGAAGTCACGAACTTCCCATTTGAATTGACTCCATACGTCTCAATGCTCACTAAAGTTTCTTTTATACTGATCTGTATTTAAAGAAATTTACTTTCTATCATAATATTAAGTAACGAGACCATCTCAAACTGCGCATTACACATATACATCGCGGTAGCTTTTATTCTACGCAAAATATGCAAATTTTGTAGCCGACCGTGCGTCGCACTATACTTGAATAACATACATACATGCGCTATGCCACTGTCTACTGTGTGACGCAAGTGCATGATCTGTATTTGAACATTTTCCAGGTATTTAGCATAATTCGCGGCAGGAATACCATATAGTAGGTAGAAGTACTAGCCACAATAGCCAAGGACAAGGTCAATTAGTACATGTATGTATGTATGGCCGATTACTTATGAGATGCGACTCGAATTACTACGATTTAGTAGTTAGCCGTGTTTAGTTTGGACAATAATCCTTCTTGAAATCAAATCCATGACTCGTGATTTTTATTTGTATTTGGTTAAGAGCGTTTTACATAATTAAACTGATGCTGCGCATCGCCTAGTATGGCATTTATGAGTATCCCACTGGCACAGACTAAACACAAGCCAATGCAATGTTTGCGCTCGTAACAAAATACTGAAAAATCTTGGAAACATTTAGATGGTAATATTAAAAATATTGACGTCCTAGAAATCACTGACGTTCTACTTAATATTTAAATCACTACTATATGTTGTGATTGCCTGTTATATGCTGATAACCTCGATGAGTAAATATCCATGTATACTTTCAATATTGAATAACTTGTGAACATGCGCAATGCGCTGTCGTATTATATTGGCCTGTTCTCTTGCTTCGATTATCTGGTCCATGAACTAAGAAGTACGAGTGTTAAAATCATTCGAACTTACTTTAAAATGGTACCATTAATATGTGATGGTTTCGGGTTGGTTCCTAGCCTCAGATTTGCAAACATACTTTAAATGTACATCTTCGTATTTACGATGCAATACGTTTGGGTAAATAAATAAATTTATAGACAATTTGTATAATTACTGCATCGTAGCATTATATCAGCATAGTCTTCAATACTTTTCTTTAATTACTAAAAAAAATATACTTGGTCACGACTGGGAATCGAACCCATGACATTCGTCGCATTTTTAGAACGATGCTCTACTCCATCCTTATTGATGCTCAATATTGTTTATACTCAATATTGTGATGTTATTTCAGAAATTGAAAAAAAACACAGATTGATAGCTGGCACTAGGAAAGGAAGAGATTCTGAGTTGCCAAGCAACATCGTTCCGAACTTGGCTGGTAGCTGAGAAATTGGCCTTGCCAGCTCAGATGGTAGAGCATCGTTCTAGAAATGCGAAGGTCGCAGGTTCCATTCACAGCCATGACCAAGTAGAATTTTCTAGTGCCTGGTGTAAATATACTGATCATGTTAGGGCATGGTTTACACCTATATCAAAGTTTATGTGATCACAGTAGGAGTTTTACATGGGTAAGTTTTGAATGATTTGTATGAAAATTTTGATGGAAAACCTGATTGTTTAGTAACACTGAGTCAGTTTCCTCAAACATTTCTTACAAATCCTTCAAAACTTACAATTTACCTATGCAAAATTTCTATACTGTGACCACAGAACTTTGATAGGTGTAAACCATGCATCTAAAGGCCTGTTTACACTTGCAATTTTTGCTGCGATTTCAAGTGCGATTTTCTCCTTCTGATGCATGTGAACGAGCAGATGAGTTACGAATGTTCTGAGTACATGTACCCCAACTGAACATTCATAACTTATCCACTCGTTCACATCCATCAGAAGAATAAAATCGCATCTAAAATCGCCGCAAAAACTGCAAATGCATATAGCGGACTTCTCAAACACTATAAATCTGTCTTACGAAATGTTTACAACGCAGAGGATCCTCGAACTTGGAAATCTACATGTTTGTCTTGTAATACGTCTCGTAATCTGTCTTGTCCCATATCGTGCTGTTCTTAGTTTTTTGGGGAAGAAGCAGAATTCTCTGTCAGTCTGTGAGCTGTGTTTAAAACCAGCTTCAATATTAAACAACGATTAAAATATAAATATTCTGCATGGTATGAATTTAGTAAGCTTGAATATACAGAAATTTGTGTATAAGGAGAAATTGGAGGGGTATTCTGCTTTTAACCCCCGATATTTTAAAGTTTGTTTGTCTTGTATTGTGTAAAGGGTCGCTGTAATTGGCGAAAGCTGTAGCGTATACCCAGCCATGTCAATGTATGTATATCGTTTATGTTAATGTATGTATAGCAAGTGATTTTAAGTTGATTTGGCAAAGCCTAATAAATAAATAAATAAATAAATAAATGTAAACGAACCTTAATACAAGCAGCTATTGTTTTCATAATAATTTAGTAATATTAAAAGTATCACAATATTTTGTGAATCGAAAGGTGTGTGAAAATTCAAATACACTAATTGTGCACGGTACAGGTGGCGTGGTGATTACCTGCATTCCATATACTGCCAAAAGTGTACATAAACAACCTAAAACCACAATAATTTGTTATGTTTTCTCTCTTGTATGTTTGAAGGAAAGTCTGAGCACGCGCTTTGAGCATAAGACAACACACACACGCCGCTGCATGCACGTCGGGGAAAAGATCCTCGAATTAAATATCGCTAATATTCCCGGAATGTCGGTTCAGATTTTAAATCCTCCATCATTTTCAATAATAGAGTTTGCTATTTTAATCCGCAGAAAGTTATGTTTGCAAACAACGCCTTTATGAGCCAATATTAATATTTATTTTACCGTTTGGGTTGTGTTGCAAATACACGAGTGATGTTCACGTGTTGTTGTTAGCAAGGTCAATTGTAGAATACCCGATGAAAGGTGATGGGGGGAGGAACTTTTTAACTTGTACTGAATATTTTTTTAAATTTTTTGCTTGTGTCGATAATTTTTTTTAAATATAATCCCTTGCACGAATTTTTTTCTTTCTGTTTCCCCCTGCGCGATTTTTTTTGCCTGCCCCTAACCCGCATGGATTACGTTGCTGCGTGATCACATTTTATTATACAGCCTTGGATTGGAAGTTTTGGATGAAGGTCAGGCATTCTAAAACTTAAAATATATTTTCTTTGCTGTGACAATATTGTTGAAGGTAAAAAACAGGTACAAATTTTTATGTATGCGATGAAAGAAATATAGTGTGTTTCGTCCTGAGGAAGATGCTCCTGACCTTCATCTAAAGTTTCCCATCCAAACTACTTCCCAGAGGATTACGTAGGTCAGGATTAGCGAAGATTTGAGTTGTTTTTTTATTAACTTTACAACCATACAAAAGTACTATAAAATTATTCCACATAAACTTTTTGAAAAAACTTAAATTAAATATGGTTGAAGGTATAGTGAACAGGACACGAATCCCATGTGAAGAATGAAGACAAGGACTATATCACTATTTACATAATTATATAATATAGGACAGATTAAGAGCAAAAGCATACCCTATTCCTCCGCATATAAGCGCCCAGCGCCTATAAGTGGATCTTATGTGATTTGGGGGAAAATTTGGAGTAAAAATTGACGGGTTATAGTCGCGTGTGCCTGTAAAAATTCACTTATAGGCGCACTCGATTTTTGTCCCCAACTACGCGCATGAGGTCTGGGTACAAAAATTGGCGAATCCGTTCTTAATAGCGGAAAAAACAACGTTTCGTTAGTATAAACGGTAAATGCAAATTTAATATTTTTAAAAAACTTTCCAATTTAACAACGTATAAAGGTAAACAAGTGCAAATTCAGTATTTTAAAGCAACTTTCCAATTTAACATGTGTTCCAATTTAACTTCATGTGTGTTTAATTAAAAATTAACTCGGATACAAGCGCATGCGTCTGCAATACAATTGCATTGTTTAATGTGTTCAAACGAGCTTTTAGGATAGCTACATGATAAATATCTCACTATAGAGTATAGTAGTATATGTCTCGCTAAAGACATAAGTATCTCTCACTTAAGACATATGTCATACTTTAAAGTTTTTCTGTTCTAATCCACCCAACATATAACACAATTTATTCATTTTTATCTCTCACTTAAGACATATGTCATACTTTAAAGTTTTTCTATTCTAATCCACCCACATATAACACAATTTATTCATTTTAAAAATTATGCAATGAAAAAGCAATTTCTTTTTTATCTTTGGTAACTCATTTTTATGAAGGAAATCATGGCCATGGGAGAGTTGTGGGAGATACAAAATCCTCCTCACTTCCTCATTTACATTAATTTTTATGTCAATTTTTCTCGCACAATCATTTTTAAGAGTACGAACATCTTCATGCATGAGGACGAAAAACACTACATTACTTCCATCGCGCATACATAAAGATTTGTATTCTGTTTTACATATGAGCATGAATCCAGAGTTATTTATGTTAGAATTTGTGTGGGCGAGAGATTATAATGGTATTACAGATATAGGAATTTTTTCATAATTGGCTTAATTAGAATCAAATTTTCAATCTGTTACATTATCAAGAAATTTCCCGTGCAAAATGATGTATATTAGGTTAACTTTATACATTATATATCTGGGCTCCCATGTGAACAACCTATAGCTGTTGTACGGAGGCAGGATAGCGCTATCCACTGGAAAGTGACTATTGAGCCTTTCTAGATTCTAGGAAGACTAGGAATGCCGGAAAAGCTGGACTTCACAAAATTAAAAACCTTTTAAGTTTCAAATACCTAACTTAAATCTGGGTTGTACCAATCAACGATCAATTCCAGAAATCTTAAATCACACCCGGTGGATAGTGCTATATCCAGGAAATTGATCGGCGTTCCTCCAATATTTTTCCTAGTGCCTTCTCTCTCAGAGATCCGGCTGTATTAGCTTATATAAACGAAGTTCCAACTTGCAAGTTTCGACTGACAAACAACGCAAATTTAGCTTTCTTTGGCAAGATTTTCCGAAAACATCAAAACATCAAAACCAATTGACCACTAGCGTAATAGACTAAATTTTGATCTAGACAAAAATTTCATCACAACTTGAAAGAGCATCACACAATTAGTAATATTCCAAAGTTTCGTTGCGAAATGTTGTAAAATGTGGATAATATAGCCTTGCGAAGTTTGCAATTTTCAGTCATTTTAGATTACAAACGGGAAATTGACAGCCCAATACCCTTTGGGGCTGTCAATTTCCCGTTTGTAA